CTATAATATGGAAAGGCTTGCCACCTGTTCTGCCTTTGAAGAATGAAGGACATTGCACTTTATATTTCTCATTAGCTTCTTTGTTCTTTCTTCCTTCCTCAGATGATTGTCGAGTGATTGAATTCAAAGAAGGAACAAAAAACAAGATCTTAAAAAATCACGTTATTAGGACAGACCAAGTGCAAGACAAGGATATTTGTGAGTTGAGATGCTATCTTGAACCAAACTGCGTGTCTTACAACTACGGTCCGCGGGAAGGTGGAACATTCACATGCGAGCTGAATAACATGACCCACTCACAAGTCTTCGATTCCTTCGAAGACAAAAGCGGATTTTTATACACAGAGATTTTTGTAAGTACTTAACAACATTCAGTTTTACAAGGGATAAATTTAAGAATAAGAAAACTCTGGTAAAGTGTTATTTATTTATTCATTCATTCATTTATTTATTAATCAGTTTTATTTATTCTATATCTAGGTCCATTTTATTCTTATCTCTTTAGAATCCTTGTGAAAGCAATCTGTGTGCTAATCACGCCACATGTCAAGCGTGGTTTGGTGACCATGGATACCGCTGTCTATGTCCTGCTGGATATCAAGAAGTTCAGTGCGAGACAGGTGAGAAAGAAAATTTCTTACGATAAAATGATGTGCTCAGAAAACAGGCAAAGTAATTCTGACTTAAAAGATGGGTAGAGGGAGAGATAAGTGTAGTATACCGCGGTTAAAATGAAATCCATTTATTCAAATCCGTTAACCGAAGAGAACTAACACCATAAATTAAACACACGCCATATATGTATATGCATGCAAATCGCGAGCGTATTACATCACTCGCATTAGTATTCGCACGTTGGTATCGCTATACAGTACAATGAGCAGGCAGGCAAAGGAGCGAACATAAAAGAAGAAAGATTCAGAAGACCACTTTTATAGAGGTAGACGAAATACCTCACCAAGGAGGGTTCTTAAGAGCTACTAACCGTAAATATCGAGAATCCGCCGACAGTTGCAAAATTTCGTAATTCGTTTTTTTTTCCAAAGGGCCCTTTGAATGAACCTTTTTCGGAAATTATGTCAAAAAGTTCTATCCCGCTTTTTTTTCTTCGAAAAGTTCAAAAGTACGCCTAAATGGCTGTTGTCCCTCGTTTAGAGCAATGAAAAATTATGCAGCTTCGGCAACTTCGCACGCTTCAACGCGATGTAATCCCGCTTTTAAATTTTTTGTGCTAGCAGATGGTTCTTTTATCTCTTGGAAAATATTAATTTCTCGTTATGTTGTTACGTTTAAGTCTGAATAGTGACCCGTTGAAATAAAGTACTTCGCGTCTCTTTCGCGGAGGTAAAATAAAGGTCAACTTCAGTGGCCTATGAACAAGTCTGCCATATATACTTACAAATCATAATATACATCATCCTAATGCCTTATCCTTTTATTTTAATTTCTCCAACTCTCTATCTTGGCCCGCCATAAGCGGCGCGTCCAGGTCTAAAAGAGTTTGGGCTATTTTGTCAAAATTGCAATGCGAACCGCTGAACAGCTTTCACAACCCATTTAAAGGCCTTTAAAAATGTCTTGTATGATATATTTACAAACCAAATATATGTCATTCTCAATTTTTATCCTTGTAGTTTAATTCTTCTAAGTTTCTTTCTTAGCCCGCCATAGGCAGCTCGTCCAGCTGTCAGAATTCGGGCTAAAAACTGACAAAATATGTAATGCAATCCATTGCACGGCTGTCACGCAAGAGGTAACGGCCAATCTTTCGACTTGGCCAGGAGTGTACAAAGGAGGTTAGTCGGGTATCCCATTAGCCCTTGCGCGTTATTATCGATGAGAAGGTGTCACATTGCAACGAGATCGAGTGCACACGCTGGAAAGTCGACAGAATTTTAAACGGCTGTTTGACCTTATTCAGGAGCACGATAGGTGATTTGAACGGTTTTATGTATTCTTGCAACAGTTACGAGCAAATATGGCCAAAAATCGAACATTTTCAAAATATGGTGGCAACAGCCAAAAAATCGATTCGGCTCATATTCTCAAGTTAGATCGGCCTTATGTTGAAACAAAGCATTGCATACTTCGTTTGGCTGAATATCGATTTATTTTTGGAGAAAATCGATAACAACTGAATTTCGCCAAATGCCGCTTCTGAAGCTCAAAATTTCAGACGAATCTCGGAGCGTCGCGCCACGAATTGAAAACACTTGGACCGATAAAAAGTACAAATTCTTGAAAAACATTATCAATACATGTGTTGACGGCAATTAGAGCAATTCTTGATCATTTATTTACACAATCTAATTGAATTTATCCGACCCTCTTCTAACAAGATTAAAAATGGGTCAAAAGTAACCCGTCATTTAAATATGTGGTGAATAAAATAATCGACTGAAAATCTGGCTTTTGGAAGGCGAACTGTGGTTCTTTTCGATCTCCAAAGGATTTTTTGGGGTAATGATTCTTTGCGATTTCATCAAACTTTAAAGTTGGACAAAATGAGCTGATTTGACGGTGCCGTTAGTTATTCGAAAATGTACACATTCATAAGCAAACTCAATTGTTTCGCATTTTACATCCAGTCTACAGCTTATTTAACATAATATCATCTTACCGTTCATATTGCTGTATCACTAAAGGTGATTGCAGTCTTGAAATTGTTGCATCGCTCCCACAATGGCGATATAACTTGGCAGGATAGTCAGCACCTCTTGATAATGATTGTTTACAAAGCGTTTCACTGGGTTTCTCCATTTCCATTTCGTTCAAAAGGAGGCTGTAATTACCTCACCTAAGAGATCCTTGTTTAAATATAGTCTTCAACCAAACCGCGAACCAAACGTTCGCTGAATTAATGTTGCTTGTTCAGAAACATGTTACACGTGTGCGGAA